CCCGCCCTAACCCCCCCCACCCCCCCCCTCTCTGTAGGCTCTCGTTAGAAATATACTTCCTCAGCCCTGCCCTGTGTGTTTTAGTGATGGGGCAGTGAGGATGCCAAAGCACGACAATCCTGTGTAAATTTTATTTTTTTATCTTTAACTTCATTCATTTAGTCTTTTTTTTTTAACCTGTGTGTTGCCATGTTGCGGGTTGTAGTAGAGTCGGCTAAAGGTCTGCCTAAAAAGAAACTTGGAAATCCTGATCCAGTTGCCTCTGTGATTTTTAAAGGTAAGTGTCATTTTAAACTAAAGTTTTTGAGTTTGGATTTACAGGGAAATGACTTAAAAAGAATGTAAAGTGCGTCTTTTGAACTTAATGGTAAGTTTATTGTCACTTAATTGATTATAATTTTATCTAGTATGACGTCACTTTATGGAGGTAACCCATGCAATAAATAAACTATACAGCAGTACTTTTTTTCTCCTTCTTTATACCTTTCTTTTAGGCTACTTGTGCATTACCTGTAATCCCAATAGTCCATTGAGAGTTTAAAAACTTTGAGCGTCTGTGTTGTTGTTGAATGCAGTTCAGAAACTTAATCAGCAGAAGTTGTATTGCACCATTGAAGACTTTCCCAACAAGTCACAGCATTTCCAATCTGCAAAGACAGCTGGGTAGGGACCATGCTAGGACCTGTAGGATAAAGTGTGTACGCGTGAGCTTAGACAGACAAAGAACAAGGCTGTATGGAAAAGATAAGGTAGAACATATAGGGAAATCAGCCTTCAGCTACTGAATTGAAATGATACGAGACACAGTTCTGTATCAGACACAGAATTGTATTTCCTCCTGAAATGGTAATGATCCTGGCAATCAGGCCTAGTTGCTCTCAGCTGATTTTTTTGTACAGGTGTCAACATCATTACCCACAGGTGTGGCACTTCTTCTTCCTCCATGTAAAGGCAGCAACTGACAACATCACTTTTGACCTAAAACATACAGAACTGTGCCAGTTTAGATTAAAAGCTCTAAAACTGTGCAGTGGGTAAAATGGTTTTAGGTGAATTCTTGGCTTGGTTGACCAGTGTGTGCCCCTAATCTTTTAAAAGTCATGTACCATTCAGTATTTTCATTTTTAGGAATGTGAACGTCAAATGGCTGCAAATGTTTTAAATAAATATTCACGATAGTTTCACTTTTAGAGGAGAAGAAGAAAACAAAATGGATTGACAGTGAGGTGAATCCTGTATGGAATGAGGTAAATCCATCACACAAACACACGCTTGCACACATCAAACATGCAGATATCTCTTTAAACAAGAATCATTTGGATCAGCTACTGAGGAAAGCAGGAATAATTAATTTGCTGCAAGATTTTCCCACTTTAAATACAGTAGACATCACATGGTAAATATAAACTGTGACAAACATCATATGACTGCCTCAGTATGTATTGACCATGTCAATAGATTATGTGACTCCCAGATAAAACTTTGCTTCCTCAGGACTTAAGTACCATACGTAATGGACTGTGTGTCCCTCATCTTGTCTTGCAGGTGCTTGAGTTCGATCTGAAAGGCACTCCGCTGGACTCTAGCTCCTACATAGATGTGGTTGTGAAAGACTATGAAACTATTGGGAAAGATAAGTAAGTGCAACGCAGGCCCCTGAAACTGAGCTCCCCTATTAGCTTTTTGCAACAGACGGCTCACAGTGATGAAAGAGAAGCTGTGTGCCTCACCTCTCTGAGTCACAGTGCAAACTTTTTGTCTGTGCGAAAACCTTCTAGGAAATGAGTATGTTTAATTAGACAGCAGGTTAGCCAACAGCAGCTGAGGTGTGTGCGTGTCTCTCTTTTGGTTGTATGGATGTCAGTAGTTGTCGGTTATTCAGATACAACATGAACAGCTCATGTTGTATCTGGCCAGTGTGTCAATCTGTATCATTAGGCCTGTCTTAAATCTGAAGCAAAATTGTTATTTGTACATGCCAAAGGCCACCACCCATTAGTTAACATACACATTATTATTAACACTGACACGTTCAAGGAAAGTAAGTTAGGTATTTTCATTGTAACCCAGTGTAAGTTATGTAGTTGGCTGCCTCTGCCCCCTCACACCCTGCTTGCCATGCTGAGACTTGCTGTGGTTGTGTGGGATGTCTGTTTCTGATTGGGCAACAATGAATTGATGAATCGCTGTTTGTTTTCTCTCTCTCTCTGGGATTTGTGTGGAACTCAGTCACTGACAGGCACAAATCTTAAAGGAAAATACGTTATGAGCCAATACTGTAGTAGCGTAACTTCAGTACGTGCTGTATGAACTGCTTTAATATTGTGTGAGGAGAGGCGCTGTCATGCAAAATGTTTCTCGAAAACAGCTCAAGGTTGCTACTTCCATTTAAAGCCAGAATCACATATGGGACCAATCTAGACCAGCCACAGAGAATGTTTTCTCTGCATCACTAATTACTGCTATCAAAGTCTTGTCTACAGTTAGAAAACAAAGCACATGAAAGTGTATCTGTCTCTATGATTTATGTCAAACACACACTATATGGTATATTGTTTCCCTGTTCATATGTTTCACCTAGTAAGAGTTTCCCCAGTGCACGGGACAGTCATAACCGAGGGAGGAGCTTTACAAATGTGGATTTCCAGCACATGAGTCCTTGTTAAATTGAGTCAAGTTTTCCACTGGGCTGGCCCGTCTGACACACTCCCTAAAGATCGACAAAGCAGGGCAGAAAAGGCTTCTCTCTCTTTTTGTCAAATAGTTTCCCAGCTGCTATTATGGGTAATCCCTGTCGAAGCAATCGGTGTCTTCTTAACTAATTAGATTTTAGAAAGGAATCAGGGGGTGTGGGACAATGTTCCCTTGTGTAAATAGCAGCACAGTCTTGATCACAACAGTTGAGAATCAATGTCTGCCTATAGGACGAGATGTCTCATTTCCGTACGACAGTTTTTTCAGTGTGAAATAACACATGCTTGAGGTTTGATTTCAGTCTGCTTTCATTTAAATATTATTCTTAGAGATTACTTGAAGAAGTAAAGACATTTTACACACAGTGCACACTTCTGTTAAAGTATTTTAGATGGGTCAAAACAAGACTACAACCTCGTCATCATCTTCTTCATGTTCATTAGTGTATTGGTGTAGTTTCTCTCTCTCTCTCTC